TGACACCATTTTGCATTGCACTGCATTGCCACAATATTCAGTTAAATGTTCTCCTCCCCCTTTTCAGGTGAGCTCCTCTGATTGGCCAAAACCTCTCTCTTACTCAAAACAAAATTTTTCCAATGTTATCATCACATCAAATACAGCAATAAACCCGATTTATCATTTTAATTAATCATTCCCCCTAATTCCAGCAGAACATCCTATTCAGCTGGAGTTTTGTAAGCTCCGGATAAATGTTATCAGGTGTTTTAATTCCTTTTGTAAATTTCTATTTTTATTAACATTGTAGTAATTTTCTGCTGCAGCAAACCCAATTATCATGTACATACTGAATAATGATATTCTTCTAATCTAATTTTTGTTTTATTTTTCTTCCGAACAATGTCTGATTATATCTTAAATTTTTGTAAGACGCCATATTACTGTTTTTTTTTTTTCAAAAAATCAAGATTGAAAACTAGTGAATAATTCAGAAATAGCCATTTAATTTATCCCCTGCATTGTCGCCCAATTTAATGACACCATCTTTTTTATCTTAACCCCTTTAACAATTATTGTCACCCAATACTCACGCAAATAAATAAATAAATAAATAAAAATTCATGATCCTACAGCAAAGTACCAAACCTAAAATCTTATTATTCTGTCTTCTCCACAACCTCCAGGTCCAACCCTTCTTTGTTCAAGAACTCTTCTGTTCAAAACCACATCGACATCATTTAACTTAAGTGTCTAATTTTTAGACCAACAAACCCTTGTAAAGTAGCTCAAACACCATACAACCAATTATAGGTAGCAAAGACCTCCTATAAGAAAGCGCAGTACATTCTCCACGTTAGATAAATAATGAAGCATCTGCTATCCATATTAGAAGATTGTCATTGCTGAGAAGACCCTCTTTTGTTTTTCTGTATCACAAATGTGACCATTATGTCCCCACCCAACAAGTATCATWGGTCACGTAAAGCAAAATCACTATTAAATAGTTTATGTTACTGTTAATCCACCTTTAATTTTTTTTATTTGTTTTTGGTTCTGCTGTCTTTCATGATCTCATACTAGCTATAGTTGCTTTTTTTAAAATCCATTTATTTAAATAAATTCAGGTTAAATAAATCCAGTTCAAATTTTGTTATCATTTTTGCAGGAATTGCACTTTCTGTAGTTATCATAAGTGTCGTAGCCAGAATCAATCAGTCCCCCATTCTGTTTGTCTTTGCATCGGTTCTTAGTCCAATTTAGATAACCACCCTTTATGTAAATGTGTGTTCAGTCACACCAAAAAGTTTTTTATTTGAAAGTGCTCTTACAGATTTAGTTATAGGGTCTAATAATTTTGGCATTATTTCAATTTATCGTAATTTTTCGTCTAAGTTGTACTAATATATCACGATGTAATATATGGATTTCATCGTCTGAAACATTTTTGTTTGAGGCAGCTTATCGTCGAAAAAAGCTATGCACCCTGGTTTAGGTATTTTCATTAATTCAATTATCAAAACACTCCCCTCTATGCATGCAGCCCTAAGGAAGTTTTTTAAGTATTTAAATATAAACAGCTTAAAGAGTAACTTACCCCAAAATTATCTTTTTTAGCTGATAAACTGTCTAGAATGTGTCTAAAATGTTATATAGTACTGTTTCTGTGCTAATTTTGATGTTTTTGTGRGTATTTGTTCAAATCTGTAATATTTGGTCTAAAAACGTGTTTTTGCTGCTCATATGGGTAGAGCAGTGGTACTGCAGGC